AGACGGCGACGGCGATATAAAACGGGACGGCGGCGGCGATGTAATGGGGAAGCTTCCTAAACCGGGTTATTAGCAAGCTAAGCACTTTAACGCTACGCTAAATATATATAGTAGTGCGCTAAGCCTTATATTATAGGGCGGTAGGGAACCCGGTTTTCCTAGTAACTATACCCTAGACCCCGCCTTTATAGCGGAATTTTCCTAATTTTACTCTGTTAATAACTATATAAAATCTCCTACAACGAAAGCTATAATTGCTACGCTTTACCGAATTTAAGTTTTATACTGCACTAACTTTTCTACTCTTAACCCCTTTGCTCTTCCCTAACTAGCTATCTTATTATATATATATAACTCTTATTATACTACTATAGATATTGCCTTCTGCAAGTTTACTTTTTATAGCCAGGCTATACTAACTCTGGTAATAACCTGGTATATAACTTCTATTGCTACGCCCTATTTAGGATTAAAGTATATACCTTTAGCGGTTAAATCGGATTAGTAAGCGCTTTAGGGGAGCCGAAGCCACTCTTCCTCCTTAGTAGTCCCTATTTACTAACCTAAACTATTTACTAACCTAAATATAGTATTCTGTATAGTACTTCTCTTAGTTATTTTTCTATATATCCTTTTATTCTTAACCTCCTTACTATTAAACGGACGTGGGCTATTAAAACAGGATATCCGACAACGTTAACTGCCCTTACTATCGCCGCTCCCACGCTATAAGGCTGAGGCTAAAGCTCTAAACTATTGCAAGTATGCTACCTTCTTTGCCTACCCCGCTAGCGCATTCTTTTATGCTATACCTCTTTCTTCTCCCTATTACGCTTTTAGTTGCTGTTTATTTTATTTTATATTTCCTATTTTATTTTTTATTACTTAGAGCCTTTAGGCCTGCCCTTACTATTTTTCTGCTAAGCGCAATTCTAATATAGGCTAGGTAATCTATCTAACGCTATCTAACGCTGCGCCGAATTTATATTTATTTTATCTACTATACAACTTTACAACTTTATAATATTAACTTAGCACTTCTCTTCTTATACCTAGAGGCTAGGCTTACCTTCTAGCACGCCGGTAAATATCTAATTATAATTCTAACGACGCTTTTCTATATTCCCCTAGCCTTAAACCCGTATATCCTAGAGCTACTTCTTTACCCTCGCCGCCGCTGTTTATCCTGTAGCAAAATTATATAATATTATCTAATAAATATAAAATAAAACTAAGCTAAGGAGATATAGTCTTAGCGAGTTTTATAGACCTAAACTAGCCGGAATTAGCCCGGCTGGTTAGTAAATAAGCCCTTAATTCGGATTCTAGCTTAGAGGCCGATAAGAAGAATATTATAGACTACTTACCTCTAGCTAGTTCTACCTATTAAACAGCTAGTCCTCCGGGTTTTAACTTAGCCGGCACCGCTTAGGCTGCGCAAACTGCTAATTTAGAAGGGCCGAAAGATACTATATTCCTACTGCGGTATAGATCCGTGTAAAGCAACTCCTAGGGGTTTATTAAGCCCCTATATCCTAAGTCGAAATTAGTAAATATAGTATTATTAAAGTTTTTATCTATAAATAAAAGCTAAGCAAATAGGGCTAGCTTAGCCCTAATTTAGTAAAGCAGTTACTAGGATTAAAGCACTTCTTTATAAAACTATATAGGAAGAGGTTTCTAGCTTTGCTCTAGGCGTAGTTTTAGATCTAGCTCCGCTATACCTCTTTCTTCTAGCTATTACGCTTTTTTTACTCTTATTATTACTAGTACTATTACTGCGGGCTTTTATAGTAGTATATATTATCCTAACTACTATTATTATAGGGGTAATTAGAAAAATATTATAGGTAGCTCTATAACGTAATCCACAAGTTAGTGGCCCGCACAAGCTAGTGGCCCACCCAACCACGCTACCGAGGCCAAATATTCCGAATTACTCCACCACGAACAAATATATTTGATGCAGCTACATACTAGCTAGCTGCCTGCCGCCTAGGGCACGTACGTGCATTGTGTTCTGTTGATTCGCACATGCTGAACCTAGGTTTTGCTCGCTGTGGCCGCTCGGCCGGTGGCTCTGCTGCCTCCTCTGCTGCCCCTTCCTGTACAGGTTGTGCACGATCGGCTGCTTCTTCACCTGATAGAATACCCTTTCTAGCTATATACGTGCGCTTCCTTGCCTTCTTTTGTTTCTGGCGCTGATT